TGAGAGGAACAGCTGATCCTCCTGGAACAGGGACCTCTGGCTGACTAGATTTACCACCAGGGCAGATAGGGGGGAATGGATGGGTGCTGACAGCGCTCAGTGGACAGTGGCAGTGATAGCAGAGTATGGAGGCTCTAGTGGGAGAGGAAGGCTGTCTACCTGACGAGTTTGTATTCATGCTACGATTCTGAGGAGCTCAGAAGGTGGGCGACTGTCCAGCAATAGTCACGTATATAGAGATTAGAAATGCATGTGAAAATGTCTCAACGTCAATAGGCTTGGAATGAATTTTTCTGTATGAAACTGTGTGTTTTGACAATGAAGAGGAGATCTTTTTTAAACATTGGAACCTAATTTAATTTTATCTCTTAGAGAGTTTATAATGAGTATAAGATTTTATAAGTGTAATAATTCATCTGTAAACCTAGAAATGTACAGCCAATTTTGAAAGAGATGTACCCTAGCTCAGAAAAATGTTATTGAATAGGTTAATGCTGTTGTAATGAAATGCTTCTTTTAATTAAAAAAATAAATAAATAAAAATTTCACAGCACTTGGGGCTGGAGATGGCTCACTGGTTTAGAGCACTGGCTACTCTTGAAGAGGATCTGGATTCGGTTCCCAGCACCCATATGGCAGCTAATAAATGTCTGTGCCTCCAGCTCCAGGGGATCTGATGCCCTTTTCAGGCCTCCATAGAGATTGCACTCATATGCATACCCTTACATACATGAAGTTAAAATAAAAATAAACAAAATAAAATAAAAATAAATAAATCAAATAAAACTTTAAAAATAAATTAACAACTGATAAAAATGGAAGAATTTTTGGGACAATAAGGAAATAAACACACTCAAAGAGATGATAGACACAGTCTCTTCCATTTAAGATTTGTTTTTGTTTTTGAGACAAATGCCAATAGCTTAAAATAACAGAAACTGATCCCAGTGGTTAGAAGCTAATGCCTACATTTAGATATTGCCACGTCCTACACTATCTCCCTCAATTCTACCACCTTTTACATTTAACCATTTAAGAACCATTCTCTCCTTCTTATTGCAAGGATTCCTGTCATTTATTTTAATTTTGCCTGTGTAGTTTGGGATGTTCACATTCTCAAAAATCTTTGGCTCTGTCACACCAGCCAAGTTCCTTTTGACATTGACATGCAAGCTTCATTTTGTAAGTTCTAGATACTAGACTGAATAGCTATGGGAACGTGAAGTCCAATATTCCTCCACCAACAACTAGTATAATGTCTTTCAATCTGTTTTTCTAAGTAGCAGAAAGTGAGAAGCCTGATTTGTAAAGCCACAGAGTAGGAAGAAATCTGAACCACAAGGCTCATAGACATAGGGCTGAGGAATTCTTGTTCTGCTGCTTCTCTGGATTTCACAGCACATAAGTGTTTTTTGTTTTTGTTTTTGTTTTTGTTTTGTGACGGCAGCTTTGTTCAGCACTCCCATCAACACACACTACCATAAGAAGGAGTGACTCAGAAAAATGTATTTATTGCTTGATCCAATCTAAGAGCTATTGATAAAAAGGAACTATTTCCAGAATTTCCTTCAAGTTCTTATGTATCATTACAGGAGGTGTCACAAGAATCCAGATAAAAGACACCCTGCTAGATTAAGAATTTACTTACTGTCTCAGGTTGGGTTGTTGTCCTTCTCCTGTCATCATCCTTTGAAAATGTTCTGAAGTAAGCGTATTCTAGATCCTGGAAGATGTCATGTGAGGAGGGAGAACTACATTCCAAGTCTCAAGGCTCAAAATGAGGCACAGATATAATTGGCAAATATCATCAGAAATACCGTGAAGAGGAGTTGCTCAGATACCAGCACTAAGTGCTATTCCAGCCATAAGGCTGGGGTGCAGTATTCTCAATTGGGGCAGTACTCTCAATTGGGGTGCTATGGATGTTGAACAAATTGACTAACGACTAGGCATTTGTTTACAATTGTCAATAAAGTCCAGGCCTCTAAAAATACACAGAATCAACCCTGGGCAGCAGCATCACTGTCTGGCCTTCAACACTTATGTATCTAAAATAGCGTCTCAGAAATCCCAGGCTCTAGGAACATGCAGTGGACCAATCTGATTCTACTTTCTCTGGTGATGAAAAAGGACGGACGGTTAATGGAAAAGATAGATGTGAGACATATCTTACTCAAATTTGCTGAAGTTTTATGGGAATGTACAGCTTCAACATTTATTTATAAAATCTTGATGTATGATGGAGACTTTGCTGACTCTACATACAGAAAGTGAGACTTGCTGCTGAGTTGCGGTGATGTCTCCAGTTACTGCTGTAGAGTGAGATTAGAGCGTCTTTTGTAGTACGTAGCAGTGCTTTGTGAAAGTAATTATGTCTGTCACTGCTAGGGAAGCTTTTATGCTGATGATCTGTGGAAAATAGCAGCAAATGACAGAAAAATAGCGGAAAATGCAAGACCTCAAACACAGGAAAAGGTGCAGTCTGTTTAGTCTGTGGATGTGAAGAGAACTATATCTTCATATGGTGGGGGAACTGTGAGTTACGATGCTGGGATCAACCTGTGCATTCCTGTATCTTTCTGCAGCTTACACTATAGTAAATATGGGTAAAAATACTGTTAAAATACACTTTTGAATTCATTGAAAGTGCTCCTAATAAATGCCTCTTTAATTTAAGGAAATGCTTATTTCAACAATACTTTTGAAGGAAAACAAAGTTTTTTTTTTTGACGAATCAGTATGTTTGAGTGAGTTAAACTTTTAAAAGCCTCATGCTCTATAGTTTGCTCTCTGACAAAAGTATACTCATATTTCCTCATTACCCTTATATTTCCTTATTATATTCAAACAGTGTTTATATCCTTTAGAAATTTCAAAAATAAATACCAAGCTTTTCCAACAACTATAAGAACTTGAAATACATTTTCTGGCAAACAAATTGTTCCCTGATCTGATTTGGGGCCATATAGGGACATTAGGCCTCTGCTAAGTTACTGACTTAAGTCATTCCTATAGCTGAACCAGCCCTGACCAGTCCCTGATGATTTGCATTTGGTGACGGCACAGCCCTGGGGACTTCTTCATATGCTGGCCACACCCTGTGTAGTCAGCTGCAGCCAAGACACAACATGGACATGAGGACCTCTGCTCAGCTCCTAGGGCTCCTGCTGCTCTGGTTCCCAGGTAAAAATTATTACAGTGGGAATTTAAAGTTGCACTGTGATTCGTGTTGAGGGGCACACCGGGGAGGTTCTCTTTTATCATGCTTAATTATATGAATGTTTATTATTTTTCCACTCTTAGGTGCCAGATGTGATATTCAGATGACCCAGTCTCCATCCTCCCTATCTGCATCTCTGGGAGACACAGTGACTATCACATGCCGGGCAAGTCAGGGCATTAGCAATAACTTAAACTGGTATCAGCAGAAACCAGGTGAAACTACCAAACTCCTGATCTACTATACAAACAGATTAGAATCCGGAGTCCCATCGAGGTTCAGTGGCACTGGATCAGGGACAGATTATTCTCTGACCATCAGCAAGCTGGAGTCTGAAGATGCTGGAATTTATTACTGTCAAGAGGGTTATAGTACCCCTCCCACAGTGATACAAGTCATAACATAAACTGCCCAGAGAAGCAGAAGTGTGAGGCTGGGCTTCCCCAGCTGCTTCTCCTGGTGAGTTGCCCATTACAACTCTTTTTTAGATGCAGCCAATATATATAGCAAGCTCACTAACAATTGTTCATCTTGATATGAGGCTAAAGATGCTTCTCTCCATCCTAAATATCTTTCCTCATCTTCATCTCAGAGATTTAGAACACCAATGCCTTTATGTTTTAAACATAGGACACAGTGATTGCATTTGAGTTGTCTGAGCTTCTGTCGTTTGTGATTAATACAGAAAAGTAGAAGCTGGTCTATGTGTTCCAAGCACAAATTATTTAAATACAGAAAGCTAGTCTTTAAGCTACAGCATTTAAAAAACTGGAGTACATTGTTGGGAGAAGCAGACATTAAAAAGAAAATTCCTTGATTTATCACATAAGCTACAGTACATCTGTTGGAAAAGTAGAGGCTGCCTAATCATAATGCTTGCTCTGTCTAGAACTCCCAGCAGGGGGGCATTGATTCGCTCAGCAGTCTACAGCACTTCACATGTGATTCTGCACATCTCCCCTTGGGTCGTTGGTCTGTTTACAAGTGTCAGTGAATATTGAACTAGTCCCATATGCCTTTTAATCTCACAGGAAATCATGCTGGAGAAAAGGTTTGTGGTAAAATCACTTCCAGAAGTAATGGTGACAATGAAGGGTTGGTTTTCTACAACCTAGTTTTAAGTGCATACCAACTGAGATAACAACAGTAATCTCTAATCCACTGTGTTGTTTTTCAGAAATCAACTGATCCTGTGTGAGTGGATCTGTTCATGGTTCTATGTATTTCTCTGTGTGTCTGTGTGCACAGGCAGTACACACTGAGCTAATTACTAGTATTACAAGAAGAAAAATTATGTCAGAAACATAATACAAGGTTTCTAGAGCAGATTTTCTTAGCTGTGTTTTATTTGTATTTCTATGTAAATCTTTCACTTAATTTTATAAACTTCAAAAATTGATTTGGAAATTTAATTGAATTGCATTGAGTTTATATGTAGAATAGGAAAAAATTGAAATCTTAAATGTTATCTACACTAAGAACATATTAGTGTATATATGTAAAGAAATATTCTTTATTTACTTTCATGTACTTTAATATGTAAGGAAAATTTCCATATTCAATTATGTAGGGAGACTTTATTTCTAAATATTTATATTTATATTCCCTTTAGGAATTTATGTAAAATGTTTATTAGTGAATGTATATATAATTTCCTTTTTGCATGTCATTGCATTGGGTGTATCTGTGCTATTGTTTTAAATACAAATGGTAATAGTAGGTACTTAAACTTTTCTGTAACCTTAGAGGGATGGAATGCTTGACATTTTATCATTAGATATGATATTTGCCTGAGTTTTGCAGGCAGTTCATAACAGTAAGGCATTTCTGTCATTATGCTTGCCTTTCTGAGAGATTTATTTTGAATAACTGTTGTTCTTTTAGAATGATTTTTCAGATATAATTGTATAGTTTTTCTACCTATGCCATATTGATGAATTATATGGATATATTATATAGTATTGAATTGGCCTTTGTCTTGTGAAATACAGTCAACTAAGTCATGATGCATTATCTGAGAGAAAAAAGAGGAAGCAGAGAGAGCTATTTTAAAGTAAAATTTACTTTATTATTTCCCAATATATCACTGTCTCACCTCATTTATAAATCAAAGCAATTATGTCAGAAAAGGCATTTTGAACAAAATTTTTCTCTATGTATGTTAGAGACTTTAGTGTTGACACCTGCTAATCACTTGGAGGAGCCATGCTGGTCCATGTTTATAATGTTCACTCCCCCTTTCCCTAATGGCAACTGCAATTCCTTCTCTCTCTCTCTCTCTCTCTCTCTCTCTCTCTCTCTCTCTCTCTCTCTCTCTCTCTCCCTCTCCTTATTTATTTAGCTAGTTAGTGAGTGAGTCACTATTTGAGAAAGGGGCTTTCATTAGCCTGAGGCCGCTGAGCTGGCTGAAGAGCAGGGTTCCACAGCCAGGGTTCCACCTCTCTCTGCTTCCCCAGCACTGGGATGGCAATCAGGTGCCACTACAGTCTTTTTGTTCCTGTTTCTAGTGTGAGTTCTGGACACCATACTCATTACTTATGGAGATCCTCATGCTTTCGTGGCAATCATATTACACCTGAGCTGTCACTCCATCCCAATTCAAATTATCTTTAGAATGAAAATGGAATGGAGTTACAACACAATATTGGGAGGAAGCCTGGAAAAACACAAATATCTGGGGATAATCCACAAATTTATTGTTAAATGAGGTCAGGGAAGCAATCGAAAGGGATATTATGAAATATTGTAGCAGAAAAAGGTGCATCTGCGTGGCTTATATTGATTCAGAGTTCTCAGAGAGATTCAGACCCTTCTACAAAATAAAAACAACTCTTACCTATGTAAGAGCTGAAGCATCATTCTTGCTGCAGGAATCTGTACCACCTGCAGGTCAATGGATTAGACAAAGGACACTGACAAAAAAAAAAAAAAAAAAAACCAAAAAAAAACTCATCTAAAGAGGTGCAACCAGAGAGCCAGAGAGCTTTGGACTGGAAATTTACCAAGTCTCCATTTGGTAGACCAGCATTCCTTCACAGTTCAAAAATCAGAGAATCTGACCATGATGAGTCTGAAGTGCCTCTGCTGATTACTATTTCAGTGAACACAGGACACACTCTGTGCAATAATTAGTAGTCTGGCTGTCCTGATTGCTCATTCTATAATGATGCTGTGTCTCATGCAAGAACTAGGCACACATGGCTATATAAATTTACACTGATATTAAATTACCATTTAAATACATCTGTTTCTACTGCTCAGTGACTATATATACATCATGGTTAATGGTTACTATATTTTATGGTTACATGTAGACTTCTTTGCAGAAGATCCTTTTAGAGAGTACTATTTTAAAATCTTACTTTGATCATTCACAGTTCAGGGCACAAACTCACCGGTTGTTGGTTAACATGCTTGGGTGGTTTCAACTGCTTCCCCAACTGATACAAATACTGTGGTTCTCAGAGTTGGCTACTGCAGTGTTTTCTGGGATGGGAGGGAAGTGGCTTCTCTGAGGGATCTAATCCATGAAGCACTGATTCTTGCTCCAACCCAGCCCAGTATGCCTGCGGTTCATAAGGAATGCTTGCTAAAAAGTACATCAGTGGCATCTCACATAGAGTTCAATATTGTGTCTTCAATTTCTTGTGATTAAGATTATTCTAATCTTTCTAAGTCTTTCTTTCCTGAGTTGGGTTTTTTATGCTAGTCTTTTGAAGTAAACTAGAGGAGTGAATTATTGAGGTGAGTAATTATTTTGTGTTTCTTATAGAACCTCATCGAGTGATGGATGCACTATGATCAACTTCTCTAGTAACTATGAAGAAGCTCACATCAGAAAGGCTCCTAGGGATACAACCTCCAAAATCCAATAACATTCAAAGGTCACATACATAATGACAATTAGATGGTAGAATGACCCCACCATAAATAGACTTGCTCAGTCTTAGACTAATAAGAATGTAACAGGTGTTAGTGTCTCGTTAACAGTAGTCCCACAGGCTTCAACAGATTCTCTGGTCTGATCAAGGCATTGTGGAAGGAGCTACATGGTAATGAGATATTCAGAAAAAATCATTTTCTGTTCAGTGCTCTGCTGATGGAAGCCTGGCTCCTTTGGATTCCCTGGGTTCCCAAACATGTCTCTTAAGGACTGAATTATTTCTCCAATTTATATGATGAAGCCACCCCCAATTTGGGCATATTCAGAGAAATTGTGTCCCCAGATGTTCTTTGGACTGAGTTCATCTACTAGAGCATGATCAGCCTATCTAGTATAACTCCCTGAAAGAAGAACAACTCTCCCTCATTTATCAGTGAGCAGCTGCCAATAGTTCCTCAGCTAAGGTTGGGGCTTCTTACCCATTTCATCAATTCTATGTTTGGCTTTTGTCTGGATTCAGTTTGCATTAGTCTTTTGCATCTTGTCACTACTGCTGCAAGTTCATGTGAAATTTATATGGTGTGCTTAGAGGTGTCAGTATTTCCTTGAAGGTATTTGCCTGTTTGGTTTCTGATCAGAAATGTATAAACTGAATGAACTAATTACTTCATCTTAATATGTGCATGCTTGGGTTATCCCTCTCCTAGGTACCAGTGAGGTTGCTGTGTGGAAACTCTCTCTCACTATGGTTCTCATGTCCCAGGAAACAGGGTCACCATCCTTTGCACAGCCAGCAAGAATATAGTGGTTCTCCATCTTGGTAAAAGTAAAACCAGGTCTGGATTCAGAGCTCCTTCTCATTACCTTGGCCCTTGAATATGATGCCTGCCTCTGGGACAGATACTTCTCTGACTATCAGCTTGGTTCTGCAAACTGGAAATCAATTAGTCTGTCTTTCCCTCTCTATCTGCAGTGAGTACAGTAAATAACATCCCACCTATCTGTATGCAAGTAGGCCTAATGAAACTCAGTGGCTCATACACATAAAAATGACAGAAAAGTAGGAAGGATAATAGGGTAAAAGAAGAATTTCAGCAGGAGAGGGAAAAGGGTTGAGGGAGAAAGAGTGAAAGGGAGTGACAAAACTTTATATACATGTATGAAACTGTCAAAGAAGAAATAATTCATTTTAGAAATGAAAAAAGAAATAAACTGCCCAAGAAAAGTCACAATTAAATAATCAACAATTTTGATGTCTCTAAGCTCCCATATTTAAACCTTTCTCACACAGAGAGCTATTTTGGATTATCTTTTAAATCTATAACTTTGTAAACCAAACATTAAATGACACACAGATGAACTTATAAATCAGTTTTCTAAACCCAGAGGAAAAATAGACAATATAGACTCATAGACTTCTTGCTTTTCTGTATATTTGTCCATAAAAATCCTAGACTTAGATTTGGCAGGTGTATCAGTCCATAAAACCTTATTCTGCTTCTTCCACACTGATAAGGATGTTG